TTGAGGATAAGCAAACTGAATATCCTTACTGATTTTAGATATAACTGAAAGCTTCTTAAAATTACTAGGAGAAATCTGCAAAGATAAGAACAAAAAACAACTAGGATTCAGAGAAATCAAACCTGAGAAATCAAAAGATTCAAGAGTATGTTTTTTTCTTTTGTTATTGCTATTAAGTATAAACTAAGTCAATAATGTTACTAATTTTGGATACAGAAAACATAGTTTAGAAACTACTAAAAGAAACATAAGAAACTAAAAACAAAAGTAACAGAAATTTACAAAAATCAAACCTGCCAAAACCAGAAGATATAAGAGTTTTATTTCCCATTTTGTTATTTCTGTTGAGTATAAACCAGGTCACTAATATCATTGATTTCAGATATACAAAATTATTCTCAAAATTAGCCACAGAAATTCCAGAAAATCAAATAAAAAATAGTAACATCTGGTGAAATAAAATCTGACAAAAAGATCAGATGCTTGATATTAGTTTCTTATTTTGCTATTGCTATTAATGATGAACCAAGTTACTAATATCTGAATTTAAGATATAAAAACCAGATCTTGGAAACGATCAAAAGAAATCTTGGAAAATACAAACCAAAATAAGATAATTTCAGAGGAATCAAATCTGATAGAGGAAATTAGGTATGAGGATTATTTTTTATCTTTTATTGCTAATATTAAATATAAACCAAGTTACTAATATTCTTAATTTTGGATATAGAAAACAGAGTCCTACAACCACTAAAAAGAATATTAGAAAATGGAAATACAGGTAGGAGAAAACTAGACAAATCAAACCTGGCAAAAGCAGAAAGATACCAGAGTTTTATTTCCTATTTTGTTATTGCTGTTGAGCATCAACCAGGTAACTAATATTATTCATTTCAGATATAACAGAAATTCTCTAAATTAGCAACAGAAATCCTAGGTAACCAATACAATCAATAATAACATTACATGAAATAAAATCTGACAAAACAAAAGATACTACATACATGTTTCTTATGTTATTACTATTAAGGATAAACCAATTCACTAATATTGTTAACTTTAAATATAGAAAACAGAGTACTGAAACTATTAAAAGAAATATTGAAAATTAGAAGATAGATATAAAGATTTTTATTTCTTATTTTCTTATTTTGTTATTGGTATTAATGATCAACCAAGTTATTAATAGTATTAATTTAGATATAAAAAAATATCCTCCTACTAACTTCAAGAAATCTTGGAAAATAAGTTTTAAAAACTAAAAATATTTAGAGAAATCAAATCTGACAAGAGAAAACAGGTATGAAGATTTTGTGTCTTATTTTGTTATTACCATTGAGAATAAACCAAGTCACTAAGAGTATAATTTTGAATATAATAGAAAGATTCTCTAAATTACTAAATAAGAACTTAGAAAATAAACCTAAAAACATAGACAGTTTAGAGAAATCAAACCTGACAAGACAAATAAGGTGCAAAATTTTTATTTTTTATTTTGTTATTGTTGTTCAGGATAAAGCAAGTTACTAATATTATAGATCTTAGATAAACTACAAATTACTATGCATTATGATTACTATCCTACTTGTATGTAGCATAAATCTAATAGAGATTTAAACAAGTTAAATATGGTAATCAATGGCACATATGTTATAATTGCTTAATAAGAAATTAGTTTTTCTTTATTAGTCCAGTAATAGTAGTATTTCAAACAAATAGCAGGATTCATAATTATACCTTCAATGGCAAAATTTAAGAAAAATGTTAGTATTAGCTACTACCTTCAAAGCTGGATGCCTGGGATTCATGTAAGAATGGAATTATATCAGGTTTACAGATTTTTTCCTACTGGAGCTCTAGAAATAAACACTCATATCTTAATATGCTATCAACCAAATTTAAGTATAAGAGCATATTTAGACCAGAATAAACCATGTATATTATAAGGTTCCAACTTATTATACAGTCAGGTTATAGCAGGATCAACTGCTTCTACAGTTATTGGTACAGTTATCAGTTAAATTAGTATTAAGGAAAACAAATAACTAACAGTATAATAGATAATCAGGAGGACAACCTGTATTGTCAAGCATAATAGTAGATAAGAAAAGTTCAAGACTTTAATAGTGCTAGAAGAGGCATACTATACCTAACCTGTAGAATATGTTTAGTAAGTTATTCTTTGTAATTCAGGAATGGAAAATATTATTACTAGTAGAACTAACTGAAACTTATAGTATGACAAGTAAGATGTCAATAGTAGCCATCAATACTATGAGTACAAGTTGTCAGAGGAAACTCAGTAGTTCCAATAATGAGAGAGGCAGATATAGCTGTAAGAGGAGTGGCAATTATACTAGATAATACCAATTTAGAAGCTTCTATCATGCAAGTATCAGAACTAGTGAGATTGTTACTACTGCTCAGGTATACTTTTATAGATCAGAGAGCTCAATAGCCCATTCATCACTTGAGAAGGATGAACATCAAGTTTTTGAATTGCAATGCTCTATACTAGGCTTCTGAGTTACTAGACAGAAAATGTCAGACTGGAATAATAACCTTTGAGTCCTGCTGTAAGTATAGTGATATCCAGATTAAGAGAATGAGAGAACTACCAGAGCACCTAAATAGCTTGATAAATGGAGTTGACACCAAGTTAAGGCAATTATGTGAGCAAATTCTGCAGATAGATTAATCTCTTTGCCTTTACTTCTATTCAATTCAATATGGACAATCAGACAAATAAGTTAGGTAATAGCTTTTAGCGACTTCAGGTCCATAGTGCTATTCACTATAGACTAGGACTATTGAGATATATAAGACATAAGAATGTTCTTTATTCTTAAATCTACCTCATGATCCAGCCTATACTGTACAAGTATGATCATTCTAAATACCAAAATTCAATACAAATCTTGTCTATAATATAACTATGATCCTTCAAGAGTTATGTCCATATGTACAACTCTATCTAAGAGCATAAGAGAGGTTTGCACAATTCTTTAGCAGCTCTGTATAGTGTTGTAATAGGTTCTATCTTTAAATAGGCTAACTCTATTGCCTTTAGAAAGTAACCTTAAATATATAAATAATATAGTATATGTTAACGTTCTTCTTTAATTCTTATTTTTTATCTTATGACTCTCTTTCATTTCTGTTTTCTAACTTCTCTTTTATCTTATTTGTTAATACATCTTCATTTGTATAGTTAAATACTTTGTATATAGAATCTATCAGTGGATTTATTTCCTCTATCATTCATGATTTATTGTCATATATTCTTACTTCTAACTTCTCATTTTCTCTTCATTTATGAAACTAATGAATCTAGGCTTCTGTTTTACTTTGCATACTAATGGGTACATGAGTTGAGAGAGTATTTTAGGTTTCTGATTAGTAGTTTAAAATTCTCCTATGATTATATTTTATTCTTCCAATAACAATATTAGGTAATAGTAGAACTATTATAATAATATTAAGTACTTAGTTCTTTGCCTAAAATGTACTTACAATCTCATTAATATTTAGATTAGTACAGAACTCAACTCAGGCCTATATGCTCCTTGAGTATCAAGGGAGAGACTGCTAGTAATCATATACCCTAGAAATAAGTAGTTGGAAAATATTTACTGCTAGAAACTAACATTAGTTATTGTAGTAGATAGATGATTTCGAATACATATAACTTATATGTTTAATGAAATAATACAACAGAAATAATGGTTTTGATAGGTTTGACTACAAGAAATCAAAGTTTGAAACATTGTTTTTCATAGAAGAAATTTTCAGAACTGTCTTTTAAAATTAATTTGAAGTATATATTATTTTGTACTATAAACTATTATTTACTAATAATAAATATACTATTGACATGAAGCTATACAGGCTATCCTACATCTCTGCTGCACCTCTGGTGATTGAAAACTCAACACCATAGTTACTATTGTGGCTTTTATCATCTAGTACCACCACCCCCTGCATCTCCCTCCATCCAGCCTTGGCTACAGGAGGTGGGCTCACTTTCCCTCTGCCTTAAGGCCTTGATTTATTCATCAGCTCTCTTGGTTCTCTCCTTGGTTGGGGGTCTTTCGTCTTCACGATGTTTCTCCTCTGCCTACTCCGCCTTGCTTAAGTGTTAGTACAGTTAGGACGGCCCGGGCACGTACTTGCAAATAGAGAGAAATGATTGCAGGCACAGTTGATGGAGGTTTGTTCTGTCGAGAGGGAAGGGAGGGAGGATGGAGAGGGAAGGGAGGGAAGGCGGGAGGGCAGGTGCCTTTGTAAAGTCCAGTCACACACCGCTACCGTATCCCGGATCTCGATAATCCGGATACCTCGCTGTCCCGTATGAATTTCTGTGCGCTTTGGATTTCTTTCCACCACAACCTCACCCATTGTCCCGGATCCCTCGCTGTTCCGGACAGATTCTTCATACAACACTGAATTGATCGGATTTTGCTTGTTTTTTTATGACCCGATTTGAGCCCGTTTGCACTGTAACCATTGACAAGAACCCTTCAAGATGGGTTTTTCTGTTGGACTCCAGGCGGCTCCAGGGGCTCTGGTCTGGTAAAGCTATGCCTGCGTAGGTTTGCTTGATCTCTCGTGTTCAGGTGGTGGCCTTCTAAATTTTCAACCTCTCTATCATACAATGCCTGTTGCTGTGTGTTGCCAGATCCGGTCGCTTCTGCAAACCATAGCAGTAGTGATCTGGAGTAACGGCTCTGCTCGTCGTTATGTATTTGAGTGTATAAGAGATCTGGGAGCTAGAGTTTGTTAAATGGAATCATAACATGATACCCTATTTTAACTTAAGTTGACAATCCCTGTCTTGCAGTCGTTACCTGCGAATTTATGAAATTAACCTGTCCTGTTAGTGTGATAACGTCTCCCTTGGTGCTCGCACCCTTTTTCTCTAAAGCTGGGTTTCTTGTCATCATTTCCGGCACGGTATTACTCCTCCCCCTCGATGCCCCTCTCCCGCTCTTTTTCGACTCGCTGCCCCTCACGCGTCATACCCATTCCATCCTTCAGGACCCCCTTTCCCATTCCCATCCCCCCCCCTCGCTATTTGTTGGGGATACCATCTCTCAATTCATTGACATTTTCTAGCAAAGAAAGCACCCTTACCTTCGATAAAACAACTTTCCTTAGGACTCTAAAAACACCACCGATCATGGCTACCACTAAAACTGGAGCCCCGCTCGATCGTGGAACTCTCGACACCCTCCTTCGTAGGAGGCTCTTCTACACCCCCTCTTTCGAGCTTTATGGTGGTGTATCTGGTCTATACGATTACGGTCCGCCTGGATGTTCCCTTCAGGCCAATATTGTGGATACATGGAGGAAGCACTTTGTTCTTGAAGAGGATATGTTGGAGGTAGACTGCACTACGCTGACTCCGCATGAGGTTTTAAAAACTTCTGGTCATGTGGATAAATTTGCGGATTGGATGTGTAAAGACCCGAAGACTGGAGAGATTTTCAGAGCCGACCATATCATTGAGGAAATTCTGGAAGCTCGACTTAAAGGTGATAGGGAGGCGAGAGGCGAAACGATTGTGGAGGAAGAAGTCACCGACAAGAAGCGAAAGAAGAAAGTGAAGGATATTAAGGCTATCAAGCTTCATGACGGGGTTATCCAGGAATATGAAGGGATACTCGCGAAGGTTAGTGGCTCTGCACTAATACATTAACATTGGCTATATGTGGCTGTCATGTTTACCGATTACTAGATTGACAGTTACAATGGCGAGGAACTTGGAAAACTGATAGTCGACTACGGAATTACTAGTCCTACCACTGGTAATCTGCTTGAGCCGCCGGTTTCTTTTAACCTGATGTTTCAGACGTCGATTGGCCCTAGTGCAAATCTTCCGGGGTAACATTTGTTTATATTTGTTTGTGGTTATGAGCCATATCTAACATACTGTAGATATCTCCGTCCGGAAACCGCCCAGGGCCAGTTCTTGTCATTCAACAAGTTATATGAGTTTAATAACCTGCGCATGCCTTTTGCTTCTGCTTCGATAGGAAAGTCATTTCGGAATGAGATATCTCCGCGTTCTGGGCTGCTCCGCGTTCGTGAGTTCCTCATGGCTGAGATTGAACACTTTGTCGACCCACTTGATAAGAAGCACGTTCGATTTCCCGAGGTTGCAGATAATGTCTCTCTCAGATTACTTCCATGCGCTATTCAAGAATTGGGAAAGACTGCTATTGTTGAAAAGACTATTGGTGAAGCTGTTAAAGAAGGGATGGTGGACAACGAAACCCTGGGTTATTTCCTGGCTAGAATTCAACTTTTTCTGAAGGAACTTGGTGTCGATCAGGAGAAGATTCGCTTTAGGCAACACATGCCCAATGAGATGGCACATTACGCTACGGATTGTTGGGATGCCGAGTTGCTTACTTCTTATGGATGGATCGAATGCGTTGGATGTGCGGATAGATCAGCCTATGATCTTACAGTTCACTCTAGGAAAACTGGTGAGCAGCTTGTAGTCAGAGAAACCCTCGAGCCTCCAAAGGTCTGGGAGGAATGGGATATGGACGTTGACAAGAAGTGGCTTGGTCCTAAGTTTCGAAAAGATGCTAGGAAAATTGAGGAAGCTGTTGCAGGAATTTCACAGGAGGAGCGTGAGAGGCTGTCCGCTGTTCAGAAAGCTGGTGGAAAGGTGGTTGTTGAAGTTGAAAGTCTTGGTTCGGTAGAACTAGAAAAGGTTACTATTACGAAGAACAAGAAGAGCATAAACGGTAATTCCATGACATCGGTAATTTTATTTTTATTGGTTTTACTAATCGAAATAGTCCGGGAATATACCCCCAACGTTATTGAGCCATCATTCGGCATTGGTCGTATTTTCTATTCTCTGATTGAGCATATCTACTGGTCTCGTCCCGGCGATGAAGCTCGTGGTGTTTTGTCTTTCCCTCCAAAGATTGCACCAACTAAAATCCTCATCGTCCCCCTTTCTAGCCATTTAGATTTTGCTCCCATTGTCACTGCGCTCTCCGCCAAGATCCGCCGGGCCGGTATTCCAAACAAGGTAGACAACTCTTCCGCAACCATTGGGAAGCGTTATGCTCGCAATGATGAGTTGGGAACTCCTTTTGGTGTTACAGTTGATTTCCAGTCTCTCAAAGACGGCACTATCACATTGCGTGAGCGTGATGGGATGAAGCAGATTCGTGGAGCCCAGGATGAGGTTATTGAGGTGGTTAGAGGGATTTTGGATGGTGATACTACCTTTGGTGACGCAGTGACTAGATTTGGGGAATTCCAGGGGCAGGAACTTGACGAGTAAAACCTGGTTTTACTCCTTATCTTTTCTACATGTGGGCACTGACGGGGCGGGTGGGTCAGTTTCGCTATTTCGCTAGCTTTCATAGTTTGGGTTGTAGAAATGCTTTATCAATTGCACATTGGCTTCAAATAATAAAATTAGTCACGGTCGCCTAACTATCCCACGCAAGTTCGGTCAATGTTGCATGGCAATGGGTGCTGACGATAGGAGTGTATCATTCTGGGCCGATTTAGGTGGTCAAAGGTATTATTATTATTATATGTCATTAAGCTTATGGAGCCACCA